CTACTAGAAGTCAATAGAAAAACACCCATTTTTAAAGTATTTCTTATCAATTAAACATCATAACATTTTGGGAAGCTGCACAATTATTTTTGAAGGCCTGGAGTTTGTTTATTCTCTTTTCATTGCCAATTATATCAAATAGAAAATATAGGCAGAGAAAAATTGTTTTGGTTATAAAATCCAACTTAAATAAATGTGTGTCAGCTCTTCTTCAGTCAAGAATAAATTTCAGGAAATTTGAAAGCTGGGGAAGGAGATACTTGGGGAATTGGTACCACTATGCTGCTTTCCATCTTAATCTGCTGAGGTTTTTCCATGTAAATCTTCAGAGTAATCAGAGGAGCAAAATGCAAAACCACTGGGTTACTTAACAGAAAAAATGTTTTCATCAGGTAAAATAGTAATATAATGCTGTAAGATTAGTATGGACAATATTGTACAGTAGATTTTTGTTCTGAAAGTCAATAGCATTTATAAACTGTCAGTGTAAGAGAGCTTAACTATATTCTTGAGGTACAAAGATTTTTAAGTCCATCCTTTATACTAAAATTGTTTACAAATACTGGCTTAGTACAAACTGAGTACAAACAAGTAGCAAAATGATTCATTCAACAAACAAACAAATTTTATATGATAATTGTTAGACTGTTCTGTGTTGCAGAGTTGTGGTTTAAGCCCAGCCAGCAACCCAGAGCCACGCAGCCACTCGCTCACTCCCCCACCATTCCTCCCTCTGCTCACAGAGAGATGGGGAGGAGAATTGAAAGAATGTAACTCTAACGGGTTAAGAACAGTCCTGTAACTAAGGTATAACACAAAACCACTACTGTTGCCACTAATAGTAATAAAGATAAGGGAAATAACAAGGGAAGAGAATACAACCTGCTCACCACCCACTGACTGGTACCCAGACTGACCGAGCAGTGATCTGGCCCTTTTGGGTAACTGCCCCCAGTTTATATAGTGAGCATGATGTGCTGTGGTATGGAATACCACTGTGGCTAGTTTGGATCACATGTCCTGTCTCTGCTTCTTCCTGGCTTCACCTCCTCCATGGCAGAGGATGAGACTCAGAAAGTCCTTGGTTGGAGTAAACATTACTTAACAACTACTAAAAACATTGGGAGAAAAATGACTGCTACTGCTGAACCCAGAACACAAGGCAATGTGGACAGCTGCTTAATTTCCTCTGTCTCCAAAGCAGCAATACCAGAAGCCCATTGGTACTCTTTTGGGTCTTTGAAATACTCTCTCCTGAGGTAGGCTATGCCAAGGATGCATGGAGCCACTGGACTAATCACAATAGAGTGCTTTTGCCACTCCTTCCCAGTTAGGCTGTTTTCAGCCTCCAGTGCAGTCAACTCTTGGGATCCCCCTGTTACTTCAGAAATACAAATGGGTTTCACCCCTTGATAGCTTGATGACATCAGGGTACACTGCTCACCAGTATCCCCTAGAGCCTTATACTCCTACAGGACTGATGTGGCAGGCTGTCTGATCCTCAAAGACCAGCAAACCTGATTGTCCCTCTCCTTCACCTGTCTGGAGGCAGGGCCCCTCTAATTGTGATACACCACTTGCATATTGTGTAAAGGAATTAGAATTCCAAAACCTTTAGAATTCTCAAATGCTGCTGTAAACAGCCTGGTGCAGGAGGGGTGTGTGTGAGGGAATGTCTCCTTCATAGGCTGATCCACGAAGGAGACAAAAAGGGTGTGTAATTGCTAAAAAATTCCACTATATGTCTCCCAAAGTATAGAGGTGATGACCATGCTAGGAATGCAAGCTAGACCAGCTTCATGATAAATTACTCTATTGTATTACAAGTCATTACCATAAAGTACAGCGAAACAATAACCTTAGCCCTGACCCCCCCAGCTAATAAACACTAAACCAGCAAATACTGACTGCAAGTAAGGAATGACAGGCTGAAACTCTGAGCCCAAGTGCAACAACTGTGAGAGCAAATATATCAACATTGTGACTATTAATCCAAAACAATGAATGCTTGTCACAAATATGATTATACACAGTCTGGTCAGATCTGTCATTATCTCAATGTTCAAACCCCACTTTGGGCACCAAAAAGAACTGTTGTTGTTGATGGGAAACTTGACATGAGCTGACAGCGTGTGCTCGCAGCCCAGAAAGCCAACCGTATCCTGGGCTGCATCAAAAGGAGTGTGACCAGCAGATCAAATGAGGTGATCCTGTCTCTCTGCTCTGCTCTTGTGAGACCCCACTTGAAGCGCTGTGTGCAGTTCTGGTGTCCTCAACATGAAAAGGACATGGATCTGTTGGAACAAGTGCAGAAGAGGACCACGAGCATGATAAGCAGACTGAAGCATCCGCTGTCTGAAGACAGGTTGACAAATTTGGGGCTTTTCAACCTGGAGAAGAAAACGCTTCGTGGAGACCTCATAGCAGCCTTCCAGTATCTGAAGGAGGTCTATAAGAATGCTAGGGAGGGACTCTTCATTAGGGACTGCAGTGATAGGACAAGGGGTAAAGGGTTAAAACTTAAACTGGGGAAGTATAAACTGGATATAAGGAGGAAGTTCTTTACTGTGGGGGTAGTGAGACACTGGAATGGGTTGCCCAAGTAAGTTGTGAATGCTCCATTCCTGTCCAACATCCTGTATGGCTTTGGGGTTTTACTTTTCCCTGAGGAAGATGAGGAGTCTTTCCTATCATTGCCAGCTAACAGAGAATAACTTTTAATGCATCACCTAGATTTTAGGTGAGGTATACTTGAAGCGGCTGTCCCCTTGTAACTTACCAGTTCTTTCTAACTTTTCCAGGTGATAAAATACAATCTCCTTTCCATAAACAGAAGTTTCCTACACTACTTAAATTACTCTCTTGCTAAGATAGCCTGTGGTATGGCAACATGGCCAAGAGATCTGGGGCTTTGGTACTGAATGTGAAGAAGGATGGAATGAAAGCATAGCCAGATCACAGAAATACTGACCAGTGGCTTCTGGGCAAAAGTAGTGCTTTTGTTTTTCAGATCAGAAGAAATAGCAACATACTCAAGTTCTTTCCTTGTCAAGAGCTTTTCTTGGATACAAATGTCTCCTCAGGTGTTTTAGGAGAAAAACCAAAGCTCCACGGAGAAAGAAAAGGCTTGTACAAATGCAACCATTGCATGAATTTTTTGTCTTCTTGGACAGGTAATTATCAGACAGAGAGAGAAGTGAAACCCAGATGTGGAGAGAGGAATAAAAAGGGAAGGGACTCATGCAGAGATTGGCCAGATATGCATTTGACATTTTATTTCTGCATAAAAATGGTAAAAAAATTCAGAAAGGCATAACACATATGAAGCAATGCTGAGAACTGCAGGCAGTCTTCACAGTGTATCCCAGCAAATGCAAGGGGAGTATGTGTAATATCAGTCACTCAGCCCTCTTACAAACTAATCACACTGTTAGTACTCAGACTTGAGACAGATTTGTTTGCAGAAGGCTGGGACATCTGCTATCATCTCCCAGTTTTTCTCCCATCATAGTGCAGAGGGACCTGGGGGATTTTTTTTTTGTTTTATTTTGAGGGCTGGGTGGGAGAGGGTTGTTTGTTTTTTGTGTTGGTTTTTGTTTGTTTGTTTGAATTTTTTTTATTTTATTTTTATGTTGGTTCCTTGTTGGGTTTTTTGGTTTGTCTCTGTTTCTTCATCTCTCTGCCCATCATGAGCAGTTGTCAATGAAAACACAGTGATGCAGTTCAGTGCTCCTTTCTGTTGCCTGCCTCCATTTTCTTTTAGAAGCAAGATTCTCCTTACTTCTGGACCTTAACAGGTCTCTAAGATATGCAGCTGTATTCCAACAGCAGGCAGTATTCTTCGGAGCTTATCTGAATCTTTTTCAAAGTGTAGTTCTTCTGCATTCATAAATATCTTTCTGTCATTTCTTTCCTAATCCAAAGACTTTCAGTATACTTTCTTTTCTGTTTTCCATTCTGCAGGATGCAGATAGCAAGGCAGAGAGATATGACTTTTGTAATTCTTTCTGCTTTTATACTACCACAGCTGAAAAGCCACGCGAAGGGTAGTCTTGTGATGTAACATGAAATTACTGGAAGTCCTTTCCAACCCTAACTATCCTAATCTTAACTATTCTATTACCCTATGAAGTGTGTACTCAAACAATGTGAATTAACTACTACCCTGAAATGTGCTTCCTATATATCCTATGTCCTATAATGTGTTTCCCAGACTATATCCTAAATCTATCCTAAAGTATATCCTAAAATTTCTTTTAAAAAGACATAGTAATAGACTAACAAACATAGTTATAAACACGGTAACAATTGTATTAATAAACATAGTAACAAGCGCATTAACATAATCATATCAAGGTCCAGAGGCCAGCTCCCCACTTTGGGAGGTCCTCCAGTGGGTGGGCATTTGCTGGCAAGGCTGAGGAGTGAACCAGCAAGGCCTCCTGCAAGGGCTGGGATAGGTCTGAGGGTGCTGCTCTGGCTCCTGGGCGAGGTGGTGCATCCTTCTATCCAGAGCAGAAGGACATGGTGGCTCTGTCCTTGCTGCTGCCGAGGTGGTGCTGGGGCCGCAGGCTGGAACTCCAAGACCAGGTAGAAGAGCTCATCAGGGGAATCCAAAGCAGTAAATGGGCAGCTGCAAGGGCAGAGTCAGAAGGCGTTGATGAAGCTATGAGGGCAGGAGCAGGCGAGACTTGGCACCTGGGTTTTTCAGAAGTATGCTGTAAAAGAGGTCATCGCTAGCACAGGAGAGAGGCTCCTTACTGGCAACTACAGTGCTGCTTTGGTTCCTTCTCAATACATGTAATAGCCCAAGAGCATGAGAAGTTGACAGAGATGTGCATTGCCCTCTTGCCAGGCAGCAGGGCTCGGCAGGGAGCCCTTGGAAGGTGGAATATGGTCCTTTCCAAAACCCAAGCAGCAGCATTCCTCTCTCTGTCATACTAAAATGACAGGATGGCAGGCAATGCTGGGGTAGTATGTTTCTTCTGACATACATGTTCCACCTGTCCAGGACCCTCCTGTGCACCTCAGTAATGTTTTCTATACTCAGAGCTTGGCAAAAAGATGAAACACAGGCTCTGCTACATTCCTGGGTGCCTTGTTCTTCACCTGCTCGAATTTCTTCAGTCGCCCATCCCTGAGAGCTCGGTTTTGCTCTTCTTCTGACATGGTGGCCCATTGCTGCCCTCTTCCCAGGCTGCTCTTCGCTTTCTGGTATTGCATGAAGAGCCTGGGAACCTTTCCATTCAATAGTATTAGACAGGTGAAGCCTTGATTACCTTGAACCAAGCAAAGCCAGGCAGTTTTATCTTTTCTCCCCAGAAAAGCTCCTCTGCTCTTCACTCTCAGGAGCAACAGGAGGTACCTGCAATGCCAATGTGTAGGTTAGCAGGGGGCAAGGACTTCCCTGCAAAATTGCTACCCTAGCTCTAAAAGGCACATCCTCTGCATGGGTTTGGTCAGCTCAGCTGAGCCAGTTGTGGTGGGATCAGCTCACAAAGTGGGATGGCCAACGTGCAGCATCCTTGCTCTGCAGTTTGGCAGAGCTGCAGGCTGGTGGATGACTGTGCTTGTACCTGTGGTGGCAGCAGCCCCACCTTCTGACGGGGAGGCTTTTGTTGTCACGCTGCTCGTGCACTTCTCTTACCTCTGCAGTTTCCAGCTCTGCTTTTGGTGCTGGTGTCTCCTCATCCCCCTCTCTGGCCAGCCCAGCCACCTCCTCTCCAAGGAGTTCCTCATGGTGGTCAATAAGGAACTCCATGAGCTGCGTAACCTGCACACAGCAAACCACTGGTTTCACTGAGGGGGCTGATGAGGGCTCAAACAGCCTTTCCCAGCCTGACCTGTGTTTCTGTGCAGGAAGGTGCAGCCGTGGGGCTGCTCTTCCTGGCTGCTGCCCATGGCTTTGCTGACAGGAGGAGGCAGCCAGGGACCTCTGAGCAGCAAAGCTGGGCTGGGCTGGGGACGCTGTAGCCGGGTGGTGAACACAGCGTACCTTCCCTGTCTCCAGAGCCAGGACATCCAGGGTCAGCATTTGGGGTGGGCTCAGCAGGTTTGGTGCCAGGCAGATGGCCAGGTTCCCTTCAGTCTTCGTTGTGGCCATGTTCTTGCTGATGCTGTTAAGCAGTGACAACAAGTGCTGGAGCAGGAGCAGGTTGGCCTCTGGTAGCTTGTTGGCCACCCTGAGGGAAAAGGAGCACAGCGTTAATGAAGTTGGTGTTGACAACACAGGTCTCCCAGGCTGATCTCACTCAAGGCCACTGCCTCCTCTACAGCAGAGGAACTGCCTCTGCTGAGATACGGCCACCTCCCTCCCTCCCCGCCCTCCTGAAAGAGGCGCTGGTTGGAACAAGCCCCAACACCTGTGGGAAGTGCTCCCCAGAGAGAAAACCTTTTTGGTGCCCCTTTCCCCCAAACATAAACCCCACAGCAGCAGGAGGTGGCTTGCAGGAGCCATGGCTATTTCAGGCAGGCCAATGCTTTGCAGCTGAGTCCCAGCCTGTGCCAGTCCCTGCTGGCTGCTGCCACACTTACCCTTTCAGTGCTGCCAGTCTCTCCTGCCTGCTGGTCTTCTCCATGGCACTCATCCACTCCCTGAACCGCTGGGTGTTGAGGAGCTTAGAGATGATCTTCCGGAGGCGGTCCTGCAGTGCCAAGGGTTCCATGTGAGGCTTTGGCCACTGCCCCCAGGAGCACCCACAGCATCCCCAGCCCTCTGGTTCATGAGCAGGTGGCTGGGTTTGTGCTTGTGCTCCCACAGGTGCCCATCAGCACCAAGAGAGCCAGGAGCTGCAGGGCTCTGGGTCAGCAGGGCTCACCTTCAAGAGGACAGCCAGCAGCAGCACGGGCTGGTTTTCCAGCTGCACCAGCACCCCGCTGTCCAGGGCCTCCCTGACCTCGTGGCAGGCGCGCTGGCTGGCTGCCAGCTGGAAGATCCCCTCTGTGGATGGGCCATGCTCATTGAGCAGAGCCAGCAGGTCCTGAAGGCACAGAGGAGGAGAGCTGCTGGGCTGGAGACAGACCCTCAGGTAGGTGCTGGGGACAGCCTCTCTCTGGAGGAGGCAGTGGGATGGGTTGGGATGGGATGGGATGGGGAACCCCTGTCCAGGCTGGCTTACCTTGATGGGCTGTGGCAGCATGCCGTCCTGGCTGCACAGATCTGCCCTATGGACCTGGTGCCCCTACTGCAGCCAAGGTGCCTGGCCATGCCAATGGCCAGGGCAGCCTCCTTCTGCTCCTGGAGTCCCGCCTGCTGCTAAGAGAAACAGAGCAAAGAGCTGTGAAGTACCAGGACAGCGCTCCCAGATTCCTTCTATGCTGTCTCCCTGCCACTGAGGACATGGTAGAAGGGTCATCATTTGGGACTGAGGGGCCCCAGGGCTCAGCTCTCTCCTGCTGCAGAGTGATGGGGATAGACGTGCCCTGTGGGAAGCAGAGTGGCAGCCCCTTGGCAGCACATGAGGCCGCCTGCAAGAGCAGGAGAGAAGGGCCATCCTGCCCCTGTCTTCTCCACACTCACCATTCACATGGCCACATCTGCCTTCAGTGCCTGAGAGGACAGGAACTGGCAGCTGCTTGGCACCAGCCTGCAAGAAATGGGCTGCACTCACCAAGGAGCCCCACTGCAGAAAGGGCCCCTGGAGAGCTGCATCAGCCTCTGGCTGTGTGTGAGAGGTAGGGATGGGTGAGATTGCACCGTGAGGGACCCTGACCTGAGCCTGGCACTGGAGCAGCTTCTCCAGGCTGCCAGCATCCAGTGTCATCCCCAGGGCAAGGGGAAAAGAGCAGAAGGTGAGGAGCGATGCAGCTGATACTGGGCTGGGACAGCCCCTGGGGGTAGCGCAGAGGCAGGAGGGACACTCACAGCATGGCGGCCACTCAGCTCCTTCAGCACCATCCTGATGGATGGCAACTGGGTCACCCAGGCTCCCTGAACTCCTTCTGGTGGTCTGTGCATGGGAAGGGGCAGAGAAAGAGCTGTGTGAGATCCAAGCCAGCTCTTCCCTCTGCTGCCAGCCTGGGGAGCACTTCCAGACTGCAAGGAAGAGCCAATACCACCCAGCAGTGGAGTGGGAGCAGCGGGAGTGGTGAGGATGGGGCTGGGCAGGTCTTGGCTGGACACAGCTGGATGAAGCATCTTCACCAGATGTGCCTGCTCAGCAGTGGGGGCATGTCTGCCTGCAGCTCTGGGGCACCTCTGCTCAGCTCAACAGAGGCGTTTCATCATCATTTGGATGCCACTCATGGAGCATCCCACCATAATGGGAGCATGAGCAGCCCAGGCTGCAGCGTCAGGCAGGGCTTACCCAAGGAGGTCGCTGACCCAGAGTTCCTTCACTACTTGGGAGCTGCCAAAAGAGAGGAGAAACAGCCTCAGTGCCTGCTGTGCCCCAGTGGATGATGCCCCATGGTGCAGGACAGAGGTACTGCCCACCCTTCTGGGGGGACATTGCACCGAGACTTTCCAGACGGTGACAATACAGGAGCCACAGGGCCAGAGGAAGACAAGGGAGCTGGAGGTCTTCCCTTCCTCCTCCTCTTCGGCAGCATCGCTGGCTGAGCCTTTCCCAGTGCTCAGCACCTGGAGCAGGCCCAGGGCCAGGCACAGCAGTGGGCGCAGGGTGCTGCCAAATCTGCACAGAATAGTGGTTGTGAGCTGGAGATGGCTGAGCCCACTGGCTCCCCTCTTGTTCCTGCCTGCCACAGGCATGACCACTGGTACATCCAGCACCAGAATGTTGGGCGGTCTGGAACTGTTCCTTGGCTCTCTCAGCTCTGGTGTCCTGATGCAAAGGGCAGGGCTTGGGAGGAAAGGCAGCTGGGCTCTGGCTGTCTTAGCTTTTCTTGGCGATGACCAGGGTGTCTCTGAAGAGGAGGAGGTCCCTCTTCTTCCTCTGGCCATGGCCCTGGGTCACCTGCACAAGTGCCCGGAGCAGCAGCTCGGGAAATGCCAGGTCAGGTTCACACTGCTGGTCAGGGCCAGGGTCATCCCTGCAGGGCAGACAGTGTCGGACAAGAGCGAGGAGGCTGCTGTGGGGCCCGGTTATGCTGGTGCATCCCTGAGGTGTGGGGGAACCCACCTGGACCCACAGCAGCAGAGACACTGCCCCATCCTGACAGGGCTGGGGGAAGACTTGTAAATAAAACACTCGTAGCGTTCAGGAGAGAGCCCTCCTCTACAGGAGAGAAGGACCCCCAGTGCCACTGGTGCTGCCACTCGCAGCACCATCCATGCAGACACTGGAGCTGTGCTGGGCAAGCACCGGGTTAGTACGGAACACCATGATGACCTTGGTTCTGGAACCTGTCCATGTCCAGCCTTGCCCCCAAGGTCTCCTGCCTTAGAATTGCAGTGTCCACCAATGAAAAGTCATGGCTCCTACAGCCATGGTCTTCTGACTCACAGGACCTGGGGAGCCCCAGGTCTACCAGGCACACTGAAGACGAGGCAACACAAAAGCATTAAATGCCTCTGTCACTTCTTTGTCCCCACTTTTCAGTGGCCATCCTCATAAAGTAAAGGTCCAATACTTTCCTTAGGCCTCTGCTTGTTATTAGCATACTTCAAAAAGCCTTTTGTTGTTGTCTGACGGAACACTGACCAGTTTCATCTCTAGTTGAGCTGTGGCTTTTCATGATGTCTCCCTCCATGTGTGAACCACAGCTCAGCAGTCTTCCTGAGAAGTTTGACCTTGCTTCTAGAGAGCACACAATTTCTGTTCCTGTCTCAGTTCCAGGAGGAGTTCCAAGCTGCTCTTCTGCTGCACCTGCTTGACTTCCATTGACACGATGGGATTCCTGTTCCTGAGCTTTCAAAAGCTGGTTCTTTAAAAGCAAGCAGCTCTCATGGTCCCCTAAATCCTCAAAAGCTCATGCCCAGGAGACCCTGCCAGGTAGGTCCTGGCCCCTCTGCAGCTTCAGTTTTGCTCTCTTCATACCCAGGGTAGCAAATCTGCTGAACTTTTCCCTCATGACACCCAAAGCATGAGCTCAAGGTCTTTGGGATTAGGATGGCCAAGACAGCCTCCTACCATCACACCTCTCATGCATCCCTCTTGATTCACAAAGAGCAAGTCTAGGAGGGCACCTTTCCTAGTTGGCTCATTGAGTACTTGTGGAAAGAATCTGCCTTCCTCAAACTTCAGGAGTTCCGCAGCCTTCCTTGTCCCAGCAGTGACAGTATGGTAGTGCCAGCTGAGGTGTGGGAAATGGAAATCTCCCAGAAGGATGAGAGCTACTTATCCAGAGATTTCTCCTAATTGCCTATAGAATCCTGTCTGTGTCTGTCGTGGTTTAAGCCCAGCTGGTAACTCAGTACCACACAGCCGCTTTCTTGCTCCCTCCATTCTTCCCTCCCCCCCAATCCCTGCTCCCAGAGAGATGGGGAGGAGAATCGAAAGAATGTAACTCTCACGGGTTGAGATAAGAACAGTCTGGTAACTAAGGTATAACACAAATCACTACTGCTACCACCGATAATAATGATGATGATAAGGGAAATAACAAGGAGGGAGAATATAAAAATAAAAGGGGAAAACGAAAAGTAAAAAATAAACAGCAGTGCTGCACAATACAATTGCTCACCACCTGCCAACCGATACCCAGCCTGACCCAAGCAGTGATCTGGGCCTTCCAGGTAACTCCCCCTAGTTTACATACTGGGCATGATGTGTTGTGGTATGCAATACCCCTTTGGCTAGTTTTGATCAGTTGTCCTGTCTCTGCTTCCTCCTGGCTTCACATTCTCCTGCTGACTGGCAGAGCATGAGAATGAAAAGTCCTTCATCAGGGTAAGCATTACTTAGCAACAACTAAAGCAGTGGTGAGTTAACAGCTTTGTTCTCAGACAAAAGTAAAAAATACAGCAGTACACCAGCTACTAGGAAGAAAAAAAATTGTTACAGCTGAGCCCAGGGCAGTATCCACCCCTTATTCCATACCATTCACGTTGTGCTCAGAGCCCATTTTTTTTTTCAGTATAACAACACTTTTTGTCCTAGATATATATAAATAAACACCCCCCCACACACAGAAAGAGACAGGTATCAGTCCCTAGTCCACAGATCAATCCCTATGAAGTTGATAAATTCATTCCATAATGTCAGGCTCCATCTCTTGTAGCAGTCTTTCAGGGCAGGAGAGACAGTGTGTAGTATTGGGTTGGTGCCTGCTGATGACACTGCTGAACTCGTCTGGTCACTGCTGAGCTCGTCTGGTTTTGTCAAAGTTCATTCTTTGCTGGGGTGATGATCAGAGCAGGATGTCAGAGTCAGTTGATGTTGACCTGAGGACAGTTCTGCTGCTGCCTCTGGCTTTTCCCATGACTGGTATCTAATAGAGCCTTATACTCCTGTGGGACTGATGTGTCAGGCCATCTGATCTACACAGTCTGGTAAACCTGATTGTCCGCTACCTCCACCTGGCTGGAGGCAGGGCTTCTAGTAGTGATCACAATATTGGTCACTTACATCTGGTAGACAGGGATTATTTTTCTTTATCACAGGAGCTGGAGCAAAATCAGCTCTTCCACTCCATCTGGGAACCTGCTCATGAGAGACTGAAGCCACAGCTTTCATGGAATAATCAGCTTTGACATTTGTTCTCCTCTTCAATTCACGCACCCATTCCTCCAGAGATGCGACAGTTTTTCCACAGCTGAATTGATGGAAGTGGTGAGATTGTCTTTGAACTCTTAGAGTTGACAAATCACTTCATCCACTGTTGGTGGTGCTATGTCATGCCAGGTCATTGATGCCAGTGAGTGTGCAATATGATGATGGTGCACTCCATGTAAAATTCAACCACATGGTTCGTGTACATTTGACTTCATCTGAATCTACAGATGTATTCCCAGCATCCGGCCTATGAGAGATCATCTCTAGAATGGCGGATTTCCTCATAAACTCGATGCCTTTCTCTATCATGGTCCAGTTGGCTGAATGACTCATAACATTGTACTTGCAGGGAAACCTTTCCTTCGCAGCTACCAAGAGCTGCCTCAAAAGGCTGAGGGACAGTTTCTCTTTTGCAATTGCTTTGTCAAGTCTCCTTTCCCTGGCAAG